CTTCCACAGCTCAGCCTCTAATAGAAAAAGAAGAAATAAAATTAACTTCTTTAAAGATGAGGAAGGAAATTGGATCAATGATCCTCATCTAGTTATTTCTCATGTCCTTAACTATTTTATTAATATTTTCACCACCTCTCAACCCAAGGCAAGTTGGGTTAGTCCTCTAAAAACAACTCTCATAATTCTTTAAACCTAAGTTCTCTTGATAATACTTTGCTTGATATTGAAATCGAAAGGGTTGTTTTCTCCTTTAAACATTTCAAAGCGCCGGGTCCGGATGGCCTCCATCCTTTTTTTTCAAAAATACTAGGAAATTATAGGACCCTTAGTTACAAACTTGTGTCATAACATTTTTAGAAATCGGGAGATGCCCAAAGACCTTAACAGAACCTACCTTTGCCTTATTCTAAAAATCTCCAATGCCAATAACATTAAAAAAAATTAGACATATTGGCCTTTGCAATACCATTTACAAATTAATCACTAAAATCCTAGTAAATCGACTCAAACCTTTCCTTGAACAACTTATTAGCCCCTTTCAAGCTAGTTTTATGAAAAATAGAAGGGCCTCTGATAATGCTATTATCATTCAGGAACTAGTTTCCAAATTACATAAATTAAGGAAAGGAAAGCCACATGCTCCTTAAAATTGACCTGGAAAAAACTTGTGACCGGTTAGAATGGTCATTTGTCCATCACATATTAACATACTTCAATTTTCCCCAAAAATTTAAAAAGCTCCTTTTAAATTGCATATCAATTAGTTCCATAGTTGTTCTAGTTAATGGTTCCATTAGTACGTTTTTTGAGCCAAGTCGGAGAATCAGGCAAGGGGATCCTATATCCCCTTAAATCTTCATACTTTGTCTAGAAATGCTATCAAGATACATAAACCATCAAGTTGATATTAGAAATTGGGGATCCAATAACCATAGGGAAAAAAGTCCCAAATTTTTTCACCTTTTCTTTGCAGATGATCTCACCCTTATGGATAAAGTCAATATGAAATCATGTCATGCAATCCAGAAGGGATTAGATCTTTTTTGTAATCTATCAGGGCAATGTATCAACACTTCTAAATCTAAAATTGTCTTTTCTAGAAATTGTCCCCAAACTCTCATGAAAGAGGTTACCAATAGTTTGGGTATTAAAAAAAGTGACTCCTTTGGCACATATCTAGGTTTTCCTATATTAAACAAACACCCTAGGCCAAAGGATTACCAATTCATAATTGAAAAAATGAGACCCAAACTAACAGCTTGGAAAATGAATTTTATCAATATAGCTGGTCGGACAACCCTTTCCCTCTCTTTTATAAACTCAATCCCAAACCATTATATGCAATACACCTTACTTCCTACAAAAATTCTTAACAAAATTGACAAAGTACAAAAGGACTTCATATGGGTAACTACCAACGAGAGGAAAAGAATTCACCTCATCAAATGGTCTACTATTTGTCAACCTAAAAGCAAGGGAGGCCTTGGACTTCACAGTGCAAAAGATAAGAATCTATGCAATCTTGCTAGCCTAGTCTAGAGAATCCTTACTAACGCTACTAATCCATGGGCAAACCTAATCATTAGTAATTACGCTAATAATTATGCCACAAGCAAAAGTTCTTTCATCTGGAAAAGCATTCAAAAGGGGTGGGATTTATGTTCCAAAGGTATTATTTTGTTACCCCACCACCAATCAAACATGAACATTGGATTACTCACTAAAAATAAATGACATTTTTTATGGTAAAAATTGGAGGTTTTTGTGACGACCCTAAACCTGAACCCTGTCGTGATGGTGCCTCTCGTAAAGACAAGGCCAGCCGATACATTTCCATTTCATTTTTAAGCAGTTAAGATATTGCAAGTATATCTTACATAATAAATATCCCCAATAGATAAGGTGAAACAGTACAGTTGCAGAAAATCAAACCAGTACAGCCCGACATCGGGGTGTCACTAGTCATGAGCATCTATCAATATACTACAAGTCTGAAGCATCTACAAAGCTATTACAGAATCACTAACAAGAGAAAGGAAATGAGATAAAGGGGGAGAAGCACGGGGATGCGGACACCGAGCAGCTACCTCGTGAACTCCAAAATCTGTCGGGATCTCTCAACCCTCGCAAGCCGGATCAGCAGCGCCTGAATCTGCACACGAGGTTCAGGGAGTAAAGTGAGTACTCCAACTCAGTGAGTAATAATCATAAATAAAGACTGAGAAATATGAAATCACTTAAGGCACATTACAGGCTATAATGAAACAGTAATAGCTAGTAAAAACAGTGAATCAGTGAAGATATGTAAAGTCATTTTAGTTCAGTTTAAACTTCATGAAATACCTTTTTAACAATTAAGCAGGCAAATGACGGGCAACTAGGAAATATAAACACATAAAGGATCTCCCCTCGGGCAATATCATAGAACAACCACCAGCCCCTCGGGCTATATCTCACATCACAATGAGTACCCGCGCTTATTGGGGGTGTGCAGACTCCTGGATGGGCCCCTTACGGCCCAAGCTCAATATCAAGCCATCTCGTGGTATCATTACTAAATTCTCGACCTTACATCAACAAGCCACCTCGTGGCATACAAATCTCAGGCCCTCGGCTTTATAGTCATAATCAGTGTTTCTTCACAACATAGGCCCTCGACCTTACTCAGTCAGAATCTCACAAGCCACTCGGGCAATAGTAAAACATGATGCTCAGCCCAAAATATCATTTAAAATATCATTTAAGTGTTAAAACAGAGTAAACATGGCTGAGTTATGAAAACAGTAGAATATAACATGACTGAATTCAAGTATAAAGTCAAAACGGTAAGGAAATATCAGTAAAAATCCCCTAAGGGTTCAAATAGTTGGCACGAGGCCCAAATATGGCATTCAACCCAAAACATGATGATAGTAAATAGTTTTCAGTTAAATATGCGGTAAAATAGTCATTCGGGACGGACTAAGTCACAATCCCCAACAGTGCACGATCCCACGCTCGTCATCTAGCATGTGCGTCACCTCAATATAGCACAACTATGTGAAATCCGGGGTTTCATACCCTCAGAACAACATTTACAATCATTACTCGCCTCAATCCGGCCCAAACTCTATCCCGCGACGCCTTTGCCCCTCGAATCGTCCTCCACTCGTGTTGAATCTATCTAAAATCAGAATCACGACATCAAAACATGCTAAGGGAACGAAGCCCAAGCGAAAATAATTATTTTATAACATAAATCCCAAAATTACCAAGACTCGACCCCCAGGCCCATGTCTCGGAATTCGATAAAATTCACATCAATGGATTCCTTATCTCCCCACGAGTTCATGCATATCAAAGGTACCAAAGTCCGACTACAAATGGTCCCTCAAATCCTCAAGTCTAGGTCTCCAATACCAAGCCCTAGTTTCCCCAATTTTAACCCTTAAATTCCATTAATTACAACTCTATTCCGTGAAATAATACCATAGGAGGCTCAGTGAAGTCCTCTTGAAATCCTTCTTCAAATCGCCCAAAAAGTTCCAAAAACCGACTTAGAAATGGTGGAATAGCTCAAAAATCATGAAGGAAACAATTTATACCTTCTGGCCCAGGGATTTTGCATCTGCGGCCAAAATCCCACTTCTGCGGTACCGCATTTGCAGTCCTTGAACCGCTTCTGTGGTTTTCACTTAAGCCACCAAATTCCGCATCTATGATTCTCACTCCACATCTGCGCCATCGCAGGTGCGGTTCTCCAACCGCTTCTACAGTCACAGCCTTCCCAACCACTTTTCGCTTCTGCAACTTCTTTTCCGCATCTGCAAGGGTCGCACCTGCAGCCTCCCAACTGCAGATGCGATTATGACATCAGACTTCACTCTTCAGCTATCAAACCAAAGTTTCATTCTTTCCGTCAACCACCTGAAATCACCCTGAGGCTCCCGGGACCTCAACCAAAAGCGCAAACACCTCATATACCATCATCCAAACTTATACCAATCTTCAAAACACCCCAAATGACATCGGATCAGCCAAAACACATTGGATTTAAGTCTAAGTTTCCAAAATCTTCCGAATTACGCTTTTGATTAAAAACCCAACCAAATTACATCCGAATGACCTGAACTTTTGCTCACACATCCCAAATTACACAACGGAACTACTATAACTCCCGGAATTCCATTTTGACCCCTATATCAAAATCTTACCTACCAACCAAAAAACGCCAAAAATCCAATTTCGCCAATTCAAGCTTAAATCTACTCCGGACCTCCAAAACACATTTCGATCACACTCCTAAGTCTCAAATCACCTCCCGAAGCTATCCGAACCATCGGAACTCACACCCGAGCCCTCTAACTCATAAGTCAACATCCCATTGACCTTTCCAACATAAGCTTCCTCAAAAGAGACTAAGTGTCTCAAACCTTACCAAATCCTTTACGAACCCGATCTAACCAACCCGATCATACATAGAACTGATACACAAAGCAATAAGAAGCAGAAATGGAAAAAACGGAGCGGTAACACATGAGATGACTGGCCGGGTCGTCACAGTTTTGTAATATATCCTTCAACTTTTCCAATGAAATCAAGGATAACATCTCCAAGGTTAAAATCCGTCTCAAAAGACCAAATTGTGACATCCCAATATGGTCTCTAACTACAAAAGGCTTCTTTACAAGAAAAACTTGCTACACTATCATGGAATCAAATATGGACAAACAAATTGATTTTAAATGGATTTGGGATCAAACATGCCCAAATAAGATTAAGTTCGTTCTATGGAAATGCCTCCATAGCAAGATTTTTGTAGGAAATATTTAGCTAAAATTGGTTTAAATATTGACCCACACTGACCTATATGTAAAGGTCATATAAAAGAATCCATAACGCACATTTTCTTTACCTTCCAAGCCAGTAAATATTTTTAGGACAACATTGGATGGCAAAACTTCTATAAGGAGCATGGTGATCATTGGTTAATCCAGCTAAAAAACTTTGACTAGCCGATGAAAAACAAGTTTTTAAATTGGAATCTCTTTTTCCCATTTGCTATCTGGCACATTTGGATAAACAGGAATAACAATAACCAAAACAATACAGAAAACCCTATCAATATCAACCATATCATTGCTAGGGCTATTGAACTTCGTCTCTTAACTGAAAATAATATTCTGACTTCTCCAAAAATCCACCTCAATATTAAATGGCATAGACCCCCAAAGGGACAGTTCAAATTAAATATAGATGCAAGCTTCAACAAAAATTTGCAACAATGTGGGCTGGGTGGAGTGATCAGAAATGTCAATGGGCACTGGATAGTTGGCTTTGCAAAACCAGCTCATGCACGTGGTTCACTACATGTTGAGATCAAAGCATTACTAGCAGGACTTAAAACAGCTCATACTTGGGGAATGTTCCCTCTCCAAATCGAAACAGACTCGACGAAGGTAATCATGTCAATCCAATAGGGTAATAGACTTTATTCTAACATTGTTAACAAATACAGGTTGTTAATGCCCCACTAGAATATCACGACCCGTATTTCCCACCTTCGGGAGTCGTTATGGCGTCTACTCGTAGAAGCTAGGCAAGCTGCGTATTGAAGAACTTCTAACTCATTTATTAGTTCTTTTTAACACTTTAAAACTAACATGTGATCAACAGTAAAACTTTAACGATAAATAAAACAAGCGGAAGACTTAATCTGATAAAATGACCAAAGCCAACGTACGTCTCTACCCGGAATCCGCTGTCACAATATCACGAACTATCTATGAATACTACATACAAGTGTCTGAAAGGAAAAGTATGATCTGTCTCAGAAACAAATGGAAACAGAATACATAATAAGATAGAAGAGAACGCTGGGCTTGCAGACACCTGCAGGACTACCTCGGGATCTTTAGCTGAACTGAAGGCAGCCACCCAAATGCTACTGTCCAAAAGCTGCTCCGGGATCTGCACATAGTGCAGAGTGTATCATTAGCACAACCGACCCCATGTGCTGGTAAGTGCCTAGCCTAACCTCGACGAAGTAGTGGCGAGGCTAGGACCAGACTACCAAGTAAACCTGTGCAGTCATATAATATGCAATGGAAAAATAAAACAGGAATAACAAGTAAAGATAGGAAGGGGTACATGCTACGGGGGTATATCAATATCAACAGTAAATCAAGAGAAAAGGGCATAAGGACAACATAGAATTCACAGCAAAACAATAAGGAACTCGAAACCAATCTATAAACACTTTGTATCATCAAATGTTGCGGCGCGCAACCTGATCCCAACACATAACAACATTGTTGTGGCGTGCAACCCATCCCAACACATAACAACACGGTTGCAGTGCGCAACCAGATCCATATCATTTATCAATGTTGCGGCGTGTAATCTGATCCAATTATATCATTGTTGCGACGTTCAACCCGATCCAAATATATCATTGTTGTGGCGTGCAACCCCATCCAAATATATCATTGTTGTGGTGCGCAACCCGATCCACATATACAATCAACAACAGTCATAACAAGAGTCCTGGCAAGGGATCAATAAAGAAATACACTATCCTGGCAAGGGACTCGACAATACAAGTAACTACATCCCGGCAAGGGAAAACAGCTATAACCCAACTTGTTCCAACATCTAACTACCTTAGCTAACACCAATACTCAGTCATAAGTAATTTCCACGAGAATAATCATAATTCTTGCTCAATACAGAGAATCATCAACTTAAGCATCCGTAGTATTATTTAAGAACACAATAAATTACAATTCAAGACTCACGGTCATGCTCGACACCAACGTATAGATACTCGTCACCATGCATATACGTCGTACTCAACAAGAAACAAGTAGCAAATAGGACACAACTCCTAATCCCTCAAGCTAAGGTTAGACCAAACACTTACCTCGATGCCACGAACACAATTCACGTCTCAATTATCACTTTACCCCTTGATTCTACCACAAATTCGCTCGTATATAGCCACAAGTTACTTAATTACATCAATAAACACAAAATGAATCAATTCCTATGCATGAAAATAAGTTTTCCAAATTTTTACCCAAAAAGTCAAAAATTGCCCCCGGACCCACATGGTCAAAACTTGAGGTTCGAACCAAAAACCGATTATCCATTCACCCACGAACCCAAATATATAATTTATTTTAAAATCGGACCTCAAATCGAGGTCCAAATCCCCAATTTTTTGAAAAACCTAGGTTCTACCCAAAACACCCAAGTTCCCCCATGAAAATCATTGATTTTGAGTTGAAATCATGTTAAAAGATGTTAATGATTGAAGGAAACGAGTTGAAATTGACTAACAATCGATTTGGAAGAAGAGTTGTTCTTGAAAAATCGCCCAAAAGGAGTTTATATTTTGAAAAGATATGAAAAATGGTTGATTTTCGTCTAAGTATAAAAATTGCAGGTTGCAGATATGGAAATTGCGACCAGTGTTCGCAATTGCGAACCCTTCAAAAAATTGAACCTTTCGCATTTGCGAAACATATGTCGCATTTGCGATACACTCAGCATTCCAGCCATCATCGCATTTGCGAGAGGCTGTTCGCAACGCATTGAATACAGTCGCATTTGCGACTCAGGCTACCAGGTCCACTCTTCACATTTGCGAAGGTTTGTCACATTTGCGAGCTCGCATTTGTGAAGCTTGCTGACCTGATCACACCAGCTGAGAATCTACAATTTCCCAAGTCCAAAATCCACCCCGTGGCCTATCCAAAACTCACCCGAGCCCTCGGGGCTCCAAACCAAACATGCACACCAACCTAAAAACATCATACAGACTCGTTCGTGCATTCAAATCACTAAAATAACATCAGCAACTATGAATTTAGCATCAAAATCATGAAATTTTCTGAAGAACTTCAATTTCAGATTTTCTAAAAACCGATCCGTTTTGCGTCGTTTCAAGTTCGTTTCTTACCAAATTTCACAGACTCGTCTTAAAATCACATATAAGACACCGGAACTAAAATGCGGGCCCGATACCATCAAATTTTAATCACATTTCATTTCCAAATCTCATAAATAATTTCGGAAAATAATTTTCTTTAAAAATTCATTTCTCGGGCTTGGGACCTCGGAATTAGATTCTGGGCATACGCCCAAGTCCCATATTTTCCTACGAACCCTCCGGGACCGTCAAATCACAAGTCCAGGTCTGTTTACCCAAAATGTTGACTGAAGTCAACTTAATTCATTTTATAGTCAAAATTTATCATTTTTCACCGATTTTCACATAGTGGCTTTCCTGCTACTCACCCGGACTGCAAACAAATCGAGCTGAGACTAAAAGAGGTTTTTAAGGCCTCCGAATGCAGAATCCGTTTTTAAAACAAGTGATGACCTTTTGGGTCATCACATTCTCCACCTCTAAAACAATTGTTCGTCCTCGAACGGACATAAGAAGGAAGTACCTGAGTCGGGGAAAAGATGGGGATAACGGCTCCATATATCAGACTCGGACTCCCAGGTCGATGCCTCAACAGGCTGTCGCTCCCCCTTTTTTCCTCTTCAAATCAGAAAATTGGGTTTATGACATTTTGGGTATGAGACAACTCATTCCTTTTGGGAACTGGGTTTGCATTTGAGGAGTCACCACCTAATGATTTAAGGAGCATTAGGACACCTATAAGGTTCATTTATGAGTTTGTTTGATAACCAGAGATAGGGTAAGGGCTTGAAATTATCCTAAAGGGAAGGTTTTAGGCACCCCTCAAGATCCACTAGTGTGGTTCCCCACCAGACAATTTTTGTGAATTTGTACAATTAGCAAATAGACAAGTATAGGCTCAAATAGCAGGGGATTTAAGTTTAAACACATAAGAGTTTGAAAACAATTATTAAAAGGCAAATTTTGAAAAAAAAAAAGAGTTACAGTTTTACAAATACTTGAGAATGTAAAAGGGAGGGGGGTCCTAGGCTTGTTCATAATGTGGATCACATCAATGCAATACCCAGTATGACACTCCTCAAAAGAGGGGATACACGTGGTATTAGCGCACCGGTCATCATATCCATATCTACCCTTCCCACCCCGTTAAGGTATTAAAGCATGGATTGGTCGCGATCTCCATTGCATGCTATTACCCGTCCCATTCTTATCAGTCCCGGATGAATTTAGGACTACTATTCCTATAATGGGGAGGATTTTAGGCTGACTCTTAGGTTTTAAAGGTAAAAAGGCTAAAGCAACATACAAAAACACGTAGGACTGCATTTTGAAGGGGAACATATAAACAATTAAAGGGCTCATATATACCTCCGCAGACAGTGTATATAAATAGCATGACTTAAACACAATTAGGGTATGTATTTTAAAACACTAAAGCAAGGTGTTTAAATTGTTGAAGCAGACCATATTTATTACATAACTCAGATAAGAAGTCTGAATCAAGCATGCCTGCTAGTTGTAGCAGTGCTAATTAAACAAAGGCGAGTTCAGCTTTATCATTATTACCTAAAACTTGCCTAGGTGTGATAGTGATGTCCTATGAGCATGATGTCTATCACTGATTAGGAATGCAGTAGAGCAGTGGTTAATTTAAATAGGCAATTCGGATCCTATAGGCATACTTTATAAACTATATTAATTAACATGAAAAGAGTGAGTTATTTAATCTGATTCAGACAGGCATGAGTCAATCTGATTTTAACCAAACTGATTTTAGATCATATAAGCATAATCTCTATTATAGTTGATTTTAATTCTTATAAACATGGTATCTAAGTATTTAAAGGCTGATTTTGGTCTTATAGGCATGGTATCTAATTGAACATGCAGTGATGTAGGCAGGATTTATTTGAGCAAAGCGAAATTCCTATAGGCATGACTTCTATTAGAATTGATTTTAATCCTATAGGCATGATCTCTATTTGTGTGAAAGTAAAGCATGCAGGATTTTATTAAACCAAAGCAGATCCTATAGGCATGTTCTCTAACAGATCATATCGAGATACACCCTATAGATATGTTATCTACCCTTCTAACAGCTAAAGCATGCATAATCATCCATCCCTTTTCACTAGCCAACCCTAATATTTGTTATAAATTATTACAGACCAAATAATTGAATTACATCAGAAAAAGTGTAAAACAAGAAGTTACAACCATAGGAAGCCTGATTCTGACTTCCTCTCTAAGTTATAGAATAAACCACCTCAAATGTCGTTGTTATTTCAAAGCCTTTCTCGTACCTGGGTGTGTCAAAGTTCCCTAAGGACCTCATAGGATTCCGGACAGTGCTAACACCTAGTTTGCATAACCAGACAGAAATGAGTGCAGTGTGGAAGGGCCAGCCCTTGTGTGTCCAAGTTTAGAGGGAGGTCAAGGGTCCCAAGGCAAGGCTCACACAAGAGGGCAGAACCTAAATTCTAGGAGTATAGTGAAAGTGCAGAACATAGTTGAAAAAAGAGTTTGTTTAAAACTGGAGTGGCAAGTCCATTTTGAAAGTAATCAGTAGCAGAAGTGTTTGAAATCAGTTGGGGTAATGAACTAAACTCAAACACACAGAATCAATAGTCACACAAAGGGGTCAAAGGGTTTTGGGAATACATTATATGAAGCATATAACCCCAGTAGTGGTCAGGTTTGGTCATCCACAGCGATAGATGATACTGGCATGCCCACAAACCAGCCAGAGAACACAAACACATAGAGGGAATATGGAGGTTTGGGATTCATAAGTCAGCAAACACATAACAAATGACTGGCAGAGCACACACATAGGGAAGCATTAATTTAAAGAGGAAAGGAACATATTACAGCATGCTAGTAATATAACTTAACTGCAGAAACATAAACAGGAGTAGACAAAAATGAGATAAATTGGAACAATCAAAGAAACATGTTGTTGTTGGGGCTTTAAAAAATTAACTAGGACATACCAGTAGAGAAGCAAAGTGCAAAAAGAAAAAGTTAGCAAGATTCCACAATCTAGCCTTGGCTTTCAGCCGGCTAGACAAAGAAGTAGCACAAGTAGTAGTAAAGAAAGAGAGAGTTTTTGAGTGTAAGTGTGTGTTCTGAACTCAAATTGTTCGTATGTTTGTAATAAGTAAAGTCTTAACAAAAATATGAAAACAATCAGAATCAGAATCAATTAACCCAAGTGATTCCCTTTAATTAAAGAATCACTGCTTAACGGATACTAACAGGTTTAATTAAGGAAAGAAATCAGTTTGGGGACAAATTGATTATTGCCATATAAGGGGGTAGTAAAAGTATGAAGTAAATAATTGAGACTAAGTTCAAAATATGCTTAGTTTTGGGAAAGGATTCAGCAAGATCAAACGTCACAGTAAAGGAAAGGAATCAATTAATTTTAAACAAATGAGTAAAAGTTAGGGTTTATGAGGAAACTTTTGCAGTCAGTCGCAACATTGAGGGAGTCAGAATCAATCAAGAAGGAAACATAATTATGCACTTCAATGTATAAATAGAGTGAACAGAAGCATCAGACATGCAGGGCCAAACACATTGGCAAAAGAGGTAACACAAACATTCAGCAGTAGCAGGAATAAGCTAGGATTTAGTAGTGAAAAAGATCTATTCGAAGCACAATAGTCAACAAGGTCATGTAGTTACACAGAATCAAAAGTGAAGAAAACATAGTAACAGGTAAAGAGAGTCAGAAACAAACAAGTGAGGAAAACCTTTTTAAGAAATTAGGGTTTTAACAACAATAGTCGAGTTTAAGAGATGATAAGAACCCAGAATCAGATAAGTCACACAAAGAAAAGAGAATCAGAAACAAAGAACTTAATCGAACAAATACACATTCAAACAAAAAAGGACAAGTTCAGAACTCGAATAAGACCAAAAGAACTAGGGTTTTCAATATGCTAAATCGAGTAGAAGGAAAGCATAAACAAGTTGTTTGAACATAGTAAAATCATGAAACAACACCAAAAATCAGAGAAGAGCTTTAAAATGAGGTTAAGAGAAACCCTAATCGTTGAAAAAGGAAGAGTCATTTTGAAAGAAAGTCGAAGAACATTCAAGAAAACACTTAAGAAGTTCGTAGTAAGCACAGATCTAAAATAGATCTGAAAGAAAATCAAAAGACCTTAAAGCTAGGGTTTTAGAGAACCCAGAAAAGGTGAGGGAGACCTTGAAAAGTTACTGATCTAGCCGGAAAGGTCAAGGATATGCCTTGAACGGCCATGGATGGCCGGTGAAAGACCAGAGACAGAGGTTGAGCAAGGACTGGACCTGATCTCTTTGAGATTCAGCCATGAAATCACGGAAACCAACACCAAGGAGCCATAGGAGGCCGATACACATCTCAAATGGCCATGAGAGGCCATGGATTAGGCAGGGATTGAGGTGGATTAGGGTGGAATTAGATGGCGGCGGCTAGGGTTCATGTGAGGTTACAGAGAGAATTGAAAGGGAAAGGATTCAGAGGCGGCGGGTGGTGGGAAATGAGTTAGGTTAGGGGTCGTTTAGGATCAAAAATGGTAAGGGGTAGTGGTGGCCGTTGATTTGAATGATCAACGGTCTGGATTTAAAAGGGTAGGTGGGGAATCCGGGTTAGGTTGGTTTAATTGGGTTAGGGGTCGGGTTAAATTTGAAATTGGGCTGGGAAATTGGGTCTGATTTGGGGTTCAATTTA